TGATATAGTGTCTTACAGATAATGGTGATTGAAAGTTCCTGATCAGCAAGTCCTTTGGCTACTCTTAGACCTTTTAATAAGCTCTTTCTCTTTAGCATGTAAATATTCTTAATTCTTTCTTACATTGAGAAAATAAACTTTAAAAACCCATTAGCCCTACATCCTTCTCTGTCTACTGCTGTGCTGTAAACTCCAGCAGGTTCGTGCTTGTCATTTTAGAGATAGATGTCTGTGTATATTTGGAGAAAGAGAGAAATCATCAAGATATACATATGTATATAGATATATAGATACATACACAAATAAATTACATATATCACTCTTGATAACCAAAAACTTCCAGAAAGAATAGACTTCTCATTAATTTCTTTTTTTTTTTCTGTGCAATTCTGGGTATTAAACCAAGAAGTGGTTTACCACTGAGCTACATCCTCAGCCCTTTTTATTTTTTGAGACAGAATCTCATCAAGTTGCCCAGACTGGCCTCAAGTTTGCCATTCTCCTGCCTCAGCCTCCCAAGTAGCTGGGATTGCTGATATGTGCAACCATGCCCCATCTGCCCATTTATTCTTTTTATATATTTATTTATTTGGGGAGGGAGTACTGGGAATTGAACTCTGGGCATTCAACCACTGATTCATATCCCAGCCCAATTTTGTATTTTATTTAGAGACAAGGTCTTACTGAGTTGCTTAGCACCTCACTTTTGCTGAGGCTGACTTTGAACTCAAGATCCTCCTGCCTCAGCCTCCAGAGCCACTGAGATGACAGGTGTGCACCACTGTGCCCAGCCCATTTATTCTTAAACACATTTGCAATCTGACTCTTATCTTTTTCGCTTTCTTGATGATGTCTCCAGTTATATGATTGTCAAATTCTATTGTTTTTGTTGTTCTCCTCTGACTTGGCCACTTATTCTTTCTTGAAACTTTCCTCTTCCTTTGGCTCCTACCTCTCTGACCTTTCCTTTTGGAACTTCTAAAGTCTTCTTTATCCTTTTCTGTCTTCCTCTTAAATATTGGTGTTCTGTTGGGTTTGGTCTCCCCTACTTAACTTTCCTGTGCAGTGTCATGAATAGCCTTGGATTTCGCTATCACACAAATATAAATATGATCATATAGGTGTTAGTTAAATTTTTTGTTTCACAAACTTATGTTGTTTCTGGACTTTCTCCCTGAATTCCCTCCTGAACTTTCCAAATGGCTTTTGGAAAAGTTCACTTCATGCCACCTGTTACATTGAAACTAATCTGTTTATCTTTCACCCCATCCAAACTTTAGGTATATTTTATGATCTGACCTTGTCTTTGTATCCCAGCATAAGGCCAAGAACACAGTCACAATGTCATGGCTTTGAGCCTCAGCCTTCTGAGTAGCAGGGATTACAGTATGTACCACAATGCCTAGCCTTAGGCACTCTCAGGGGTCTCTAGCTTCACATCCATCACAGTCTTCCTAACTCTTCCTCCCATATTTTCTATTCCAGTTAACCTGACACAAATTTCTGCTTAGTAATTGAGTCCTGTCATTTGTGCCTGCTTAAAAAAATATATACAAACATACATACCCCCACCTCCCTCCCCCAC